CTCTAATGCCATTTATAATATTTATAGGATTATTTAATGGTGTACCACCTCTAAGATATTTTTTAATATGATACAAGTCTTGTTCGATTTGTATAAAAAGGTCAAGATTTGTCATATCTATATCTTCCTCTTCTGAATTATATAAACTTGAAGAGCTTCTTCGAGAAGAAATAACTTTGAATCTATGCCTTAGATTTTGAACTCGCTCTTCTAATTCTTGTAATTACTTCTTTATATTATTGATATAGGATACCTTATCTCAGATTTCCTTTTTAGCTTGATATAAGCTTCTTTTAAGAAATGATATCTCCGATCTCAACTCAGCCTTTTCTTCCTCTGAAGCATTCTCGAGACGTTCCAGTTCTTTATTGAGAGATTGAATTTCATTCTTACATCAGATATATTTACGTTCCAGATCCTTTATATATTTCTCATTTAATTTATTAATTGAAACTTCATTAGATAATTCATCTCTCAAAGCTTGATTCACCTGCTTCAATTCCAATTTCCAATTAGAGCTTGACCTATGAGATATTCGATTGGGGTGTGGTCAACAAAATGCCATAGCTATTTTTTATAGCAATATATTGATACAAAGTAAAGATATAGCCAAAATGAGTATATCTACTATATATATAGATCCATATGCTGAGGTAGCTATAGTTTGTCATGCACTCTATTATAATATTCCCGGATTTTATCCAAATGTGAAAGCTCTACAAAAGGCATGCAAAAAAGAAGGGTATGGTCATTTCCAACTCAAAGATATAACAAAGTAATTAGAAAATCAGTATGATTACCAAATATATCATCATCCACCAAAGATTAAGGCTCAGGCTAGCTTTTCTAAATGTTGAATTCCTAATAAATTATCCAATGTGATCTATTACCTCATGTTTATGATAATCAGAAAAAGGGGAAAGTATATTTACACATCTTGGTGCTGATAGATGTGGTGACAAGATTTAAATGTGCAGTAGTGTTGATGTCAAAGAATAGTTTAGAAATTTGGAACATGATCGAAAAAATATACAATGATCCTAAAAATTCTCTCACATGACTGGCATTGTTGATGATAGATGGTGTGGAGGAGTTCAAAGAAATATTCTCTCGAGAGATGGAATGTTATAATGTTCCTATAAGAGTTATAGACCTTTATAGTTTTGAAAGCTTAGCGTTAGTAAAAAAATTCAAACAAGATTTGGCAAAACTTATATATAAAATTCAATATACTATAGAAGGAAAACTCAAAGAAGGTGAATGCTCAAAATTATGGAAAAAGATACTTCAGAAAATTATCAACTATATGAATAATAATAAAATGCGATTAATCAGTATAAGCCCTGACCATGCTATGATATTGCGGGAAGTGATTCCCAAAGTAACTATCAAACCTAAAAGATCCATTAGGAAAGATGAACTGCGATTATAAAAAGGAATGACTGTAAGATATTTATTAAAACCAGGTGAGTTGGAAGGAGGACATGTTCATAGGAAAACTGATCTATACTTCTTATTGCGTGTTTATCAAATTAAAAAGATTATTGTTAAAAGGAATTCACCATAGCCAGTCTTATACTATCTCGAAGATGAGCCTATTGAATCTATTGCTCATTTGATGAGACGTAATCCACATTGACCATTCAAGTAAGAAGAACTCCAAGTAATAGAAAATCCTGAAGAAGTCAAATATCCACCTAACAATTTTATACGAAAATATCACCCTTCTGAATCAATACATTTCATTCGTGTTTCTAGTAGTGAATTTGACAGGGTCTAACAATATGCCAAGAAATGTGATGGAAGTATTTTAGCTAAAACTGATCAAATTAATGATCAGAATGTATACCTTTGGTCATGTCAGAATGGTAAATATCAATTTGAGTACCCATATCCATTAATAGCTATGAAGTTTGAATGGTGTTCCTTATGTCATCACACTACTAAGAGAAATGTAAGATATATTTTTAAAGATCTATTAGGTAAGAAATTTCCATCATGTAAATCATTATTTTTGAATAGGATGCAATTAGACGGGTATAATGAAGAGCTAAAATTAGTATTCAAATTTCATGAGGCTCAGCATTTTTCTGAGAATCTAATGTTTCATAAGTGAGGCAAGATAGACTTAGATAGTTAACAGATGCATGATCAAAAAAAGCAGAATATATGCAAGGAGCAAGGTATAGATCTCATTAAAATTCCTTACTCTGCTGATTTATATGAATTTATTTAAAACATTTTAATTGAGAAAGGTTATTTACAGGATAAAAATTAAATCTGTAAGTGCTTATCTTAGATATGAATAAAGATAAAACTCTAAATACTTATCTCATTTGATTAATATTTTTTGGATATAATAATTAGTGACTTATCTGATCAGAATGAAAATAGAAAAGCTTAATCTTGTTGAAAGGATGGTTTTGAATATTGACGAATACAAAAATATAGAGAGATTTAATGGCCTTAATAGTACATCTCAATGGCTATTCAATTTATTAATCAGTAGATAAACAAGATCAGGAAAAACTAATGAAGTTATCAACCTTTTACTTAGAAATAAAATATATCAATTGTTTAGTAAGAAAAAAGGTGAAACAAGATATATTAAAAATGATGATTTGGTTTTGATCAGTCATCAAATTAATGAGTCCAAGTATAAACATCTCCGAGATTATTATAAAATAATTGCAAATAGCTCCAAATCACATTGTGAAGATGTTACATTCCAAGCAATAAAACCTGATAAAATGCCAAAGATTGATGACTTTTCTTCTGAGAGAGAAACAGTAGCTGTATTTGAAGATATATGTATCGAACCTAAAAAAATTCAGAAAAAAATTGCGTGTTATTTTGCTGAAGGGAAGTATCATAATATTTCTAGCATATATATAACATAATCTTTCTTTGACTGTCTCAAATTAATAAGAAACAATCTCGATTATATAGTCCTTTTTAATGGTAGTGATACATATGATGAGCTGGTTAATATTACTTAATGATATACAAAAAAATGGCACGATATTGTCAACATACTTGATAAAAATTTGCAAGGTAGAGATTTTATTATTATCAATTTAACTAGAGCAAAAGAAAACTCTCTATATCTTTGCAAAGAATAGGACCAACCTCTTGATCTTTCTAATAAGTAGCGTAATTTACGATAATGAGATAATAATTATTTTTTTTATTATTTATTAATACAGTAATATAAATACATCCCACCCATCACTTTTTGATAAGATGATCATAGCCAGTCGATTTGGAATCAGGATAAATATTTTCAGTATCTTATTCGCTACTATTTTTAAATGAAATAGCTATCAGTATCCAGCCTGATTGAAGTTAGAGTAGATATTAAAAAAATAAATAAATTCTATAGACCTTCTGGATCATAATTCGAAGAATTGCCTAATGGCCTGCTCTGCAATAGTTTATTTGTACCAAGAGGAATTTTTATGCCAGGTAAAATAACTATATATAAAAATTAAAGTAAAAAAGTGTTACCAGCTCTCAGGAGTAATGAAATAAATTCTAAAGTACTAGCTCTTAGGAATACTTTAGGTGGCTTATTTTAAATAGATATATATGAATAAGTTATATTCTGGCAAAGTCTTGATAGTCATTATTAAGATATTGATCAGGATTCTCCACTCATCATAACATCACATACCAAGGCCTACCACTAATTAATCTGTATTCATTCTGTTACAATAAATTTACTACATAGTCATATATTCTATAAGTTAAAAGACTTTTCTTGGATTCTGCCCACAATTTAGGACTTTTGAAATACCAACATAATCATTTTCCATTATAGTTAATATAACTATAACCATCAGAACGATTTACTTTTTGAGGAGTTATACCTAAAAACTTTTTATCATTAAGATAATTATCTATCTTTAGAGAATTCCAAGCTTGGGTTGCTAATGATTCAGATCTCTGTTTGTAGTTTTTCCAAGCTCTTTGTATAATCCTTGCTTTTCCAAAATCAGTCTTTGATTTATTACATTCATGATCCTAATGTTCCTGCATCAGGTCTTTAGATTTGAGACAATCAACATACCTCTGTCTAGTAAAATGGAATAATTTTTTAGGATTTACATCATCGATTTTTATGAGTTTTCAGCAATCGAAGCAAATCGTCATATGACTTTTGTGGATTCTTGATCTATAATAATTGAAATTGATAAATTTACCTTTACCAAATAACATAAATAAACAATATTGATGATATACACTAAATTTTCCAGCGGTTAATAAATCTTGTAATGGAATTCTTACTTGTATTGCCCATTGAACTGGTGTTTCATTCTGTTTTATGATAGATAATGTATCAAATAATCTCTCATTATTGAAGAGTTCGTCATATTGTTTACCATCAAAAGCAAAATAATTTCCAATATATTTTCTGACATATTTCATATCATATCCAGGACGAATGTTAAAAGGTTTGGGTAATGTTCTATCTTTCTTATCAAGAATAGTTATAACATCAAAACCAGATATATTTATCACTTATAGAGAATATTATATTTAGCGGTTTTAGTGTTTTTGACCTATTAGATTTGGTTCTTTATAGTATAAGAATATATGATTCATTTTTAGTGCGGATCTCGAAGAGCCCCCCATAGGGCCTGGAGGTTATTAGATGAGTTGTATATTCATCATATTTGCGAGTGACATAATGATGAGAATGGGAGAGATCCATATGAATCTAAAGATTCGCCCCTTTGGGATGATCGTTGCATGTATACTAATTAATTTCCCGGTGTGACTTAATACTCTATTATATGCCAGCGAAACAAAAGACAACTTAGCATACAATAATTAAAAGATCAGGCACGTAGTGATATACGTAATCATAACTTTAATATTTTTTAAAAACAAATATATTGAGAGTTAGAGGTCGGCTAAGTAAAAATATAGAGTAGCAGGATGTTTCAAGGGAGGAAATCTGCCGAGCCCTAACCCATATATTGACAGTTCCTTTCCTGCTACTCAGTAGTATGTAAATGACTATCTATCCAAGCACCTATCTTTTCTAAGTTTTCGCTTCTTATACTATTTCCATTGTAAAAACCCTTTATTATATCTTTTCCAATTGCTCCCATCCCAAGCCTAAGAATATCAGCCGACACAACATTACACATCTGATCTAAAGTATAATCATTCGCATCCTTAACTCTATCAAAGATAGCCTTAAACTGTTCCCGGATTACAGAAATGATATTTGCGAGTTTTTGGCTTGAATTTGAGGAATTTGATGAACGAGCAGAAGATGTCGAAGCCTCACTTTGCTGGGTCAGATCCTCTCCTATTAGTATTCTGGACAAGGGAGTGTTGTTGATTGATTTCACTCTGAAGCGATGCAATGATTCTACTGATCACATTTCGAAATCAGTTACAATTTGACTGAACTTATTATGGTAGGTTTCTAGAACTTGTTTGATTTCGCAGATTTTTGTATCGCACGCGGAGAATTCATTATTGATCTTTGCGCAACATAATATAAAAAGAGACATGCGATGATGAATCCCATATACAGAGGTTTATTTTCGGGGAATATCATTGCGAGAAAGAAAAACAAGGCAGGAATAATCATAAAAAACATATTTTCTGGGATGATATTGATACACTTTTGTATGAGGAGCTGATATGGTAGAAAAATCGATTGAAGATATTTTTTGCTTTTTTGTATGCAATGCCAGTAGAAAGAGACAGCAAAAATTTTTTCTTGATCATACCAAAGCTCCACTGATTTTATAGCTGTGATCCATACTCACATCGCAATTGATTTGTCATTTTATGTGGATCAGCTTAAATGCTAGTTTAACCAAAATGATAATTCTTTTGAATAATAGGTCTGAAAAATGTGAGAATGATTTCATACACCCAGATTTTGTTCAACCCTAAATATCTTTATTAATTAAAATAAATTACAAGGCAATTAATCTTCTACGTTAATATAAAGATTATTAGCGAAGCTCCGTTAAAGTTATTTCTGTCCCATCTATTCCATACGAGGAGCCAGAACAACAGTGTAATTAAATGGTTAATAAATCATATCGGATTCAAAAAAAAAAATAAGTGGATAGTGTTTTGTTTTATTCCTTAACTTCTCGTTCGTGGCGCAGTACGGACAACCATCTGGCAACAATTAACCTTATGTCGATCACATCAAACGATAAGTGAGCTGTAGAATATAGGAAGAATATTTATAAAAATTTCCAACCCTAAACGCATAAATATTTTTCCAAAAAATTAACCATTCTAAGGAATGTGATCCGATATTTTGATCCTCAGGGGTAATGGGCGTTATAAATTTCCATCTGGTTGATTAGTAATGAGTATCGAATATTTTTGCTGAAAGGGAGGGTTAATGAAACTAATGTCAATATGGTATTATTGTGAAAATCGATAACGAAAATTTCATATACACATGGATTATTCATTCCGAGATAGATCTGCGAATCTGTTACAATTTCCATTTTTGTTCCATTCTAATATCAGGAGCTCCCTCGCATCATATGTAAATCAGGGATACTTTTTTTATCAGGCTTACCGAAGGCAGTTATATAATGGCTAGTCTGTGCACATAATACATTAATCAAAGACTTATATTGGAAAGTTCGAGCAAAAAACATGTCGAGTAACCAGTTTATTAATAGATCGTTGAAAATAAACGCGTGACATGATTCTGAAAATAAATACAAAAGTTCGGGGCATATCCCGTGATACATGATGGCATTTCTACATTATGACTACAGACTATACTGTATCTGTCTATTTTTTGGTAATTTTTTCTTGCACGCGTCGCTTTTTGGATTCGGGTTCATCACATGAGGAAACCCTATCTATCCAATACATTATCTCCGAGATTTTGTGATCGACGAAAAAAATATCTAATTACCAATTAGGTGCGGAGCATCCTCATTCCACTGCAAAGCAGGACACTCTGTGTCTGAGACGTGTATCCGAAATTAGGTTTTACGAATATGTGCTGGAATCATTATTAATATGCGCGGATTGAATAACGATATTCCGATTTTGTGTAAGTTTCACCGGTATTTAAATCATAATAATATCCTTCATCATCATCAGAGAAACCACAATATCCTCCATCATCATCTTCCTCTTCGTTATTGTCGGAGAATTCGTCATCATTTTCATTATCCCTAGTTGCGTTAGCATCCTCACTCCGTGAGTCATTATCAGAGAAATTCTCAACTGGAAGCTGGTTCACGTCAATATCGTTATTATCATATAAGTCAGAATCTAAGGTTTCATCGGGTACGTTTACCTCAGTCTTTGGTAAAGATTTGTTATCCTCACTTATATCATCAATCGAATTTCCGGAGGCAGACACGAAGTGGTTAGAGGTATGAGACAATGGGACAGAGGGAATGAATGTAGTGTTTACATCTGTCTCCGGTAAAGTTTTCTTGGTTTCCTTATTTACTACGGTTTCTGAGTCGCTTAAATTGGATTGTTCAATTGTATACGCGTTACAATTTGTAACGCCGATCATTTTTTGGCATTTAACCGAAGAGACATCGGTATTAGAAATCTTAGGAAAACATTTTATAATATCTTGAATCTGGTTGTCAGTTAGACTCGAGATTGCACTTGCACTACATGTTATTACTTGAATTTTTTCTATTCCTATTCCCACAAGTAACGTGTAGATTTTTTTTGCCCTGAATGTTCTTTGACGCAAACTTACATCACTGATATCTGGGAGAAGCACTTTTATTTCATTATATACCAGTGTTCTTGCTGATTGGTCATCAATTTTATTTATACGTTTAATGTCTTCGATCTGATCCTCATATGCTTTGTAGTAACAATACCAGCATAAAATCTCTTTTTGTCTAACTTTCATCGCTGTAATAAATAAATCGGCTATATCTTGTGCTGTAACTTTGGTAGATCCAGTTACGATTGCTTCTAGCGAGAATTCTGGAATTTGTATATCAAATACTTCACTAACTTTATTATTATTCTCTTTAATGAACACAGACAAGTCGTGCCTTAAGTCTTGCTCGACTCTTTTATTATATGGAACTTTGATTCCGGTATTTTGTGCTTGATCAGCAGGCATTGATTCTGATTTGATGGTTTCACTCTTATGAGTAATTTCGATAATAGGACTTATTTCAGTAGAAATTACATTTTGTGTATCAGAAGAGGAAGATGTTTTTTGCACCATTTGTTGCCCTCGGCAAATCTTCTTTTCCCTATTTCTTTCTCTTGCCATATTACTAACCCTTTCCTTTTCCTGTAATTCCAAAAATTCATTAATTTCTTTCTCTTCCGATGATATAGGAATGAGAGATGTGAAAGGTCGGCTATCCTTTTCCTGGTATATATCAGAAGAACCGGATGCTCGATGCTTCACATCATCGGGTGTATTATTGGAACTATTTTCTATTCGTTTAGGAGCAACATCAGAATTTGAAGTATTATCAGATATATTAGATGCCGGAGTATCGTTAGAATTTTTCATTTTGGTAGAGATGGTATTAACGGAAGATTGATCGATTCCCTTGGCATCGTCATCTGATTTAACAATAAAGTTATTCCTTTTATCGGTTTGCAATTGCTTCTGTTCTAATTTCGCAACTCTAGCTTTAAGCTCAGCATTTTCAACAACAGTATTTTTATCGTTCTGTTCCAGTTTCGTAAATCTGGATTCATGTTCTTCCAAAGCTTGTTTTAATTTTACATTCTCAGCTTTAAGTTCGATGTTATTAGCCTTAATCTCGGCGTTTTCTTTTTTAAGTTCGGGAATTTCGGCATTCTCTTTTCTAAGTTCAGTAATCTCAGATGCAAGCCTAGAGTTTAAATCTCTCAATGTATTGATTGTTAATTGATCGTTTGACATTGTTTTATTACAAAATAGGATATATTCAAAAGGTTAACCGCACAAAAAAATATTTTTAAAATCGCTTTGCTTTATAAAAATCGAAGTCTGTTATTACTATACTATTGCCTACACTATAGGTTTTTCATTTATCTAAACTACCTATCTATACTAACACATTATCTCAATGTTAATTATAATCTGGTTTCGATATTCTAAATATGTTTATTAGTTATATCTGTACGAAACATGCAGGGTCAAAAATTAATTAACAATGTTAACCTTGATGCCTACCTTCTGCGATACTAATAAATTTCTAAAAATCGGCACGAAAGAATAGTTATTAGCTCGCAAACACAGAAGTTATACATTTGTACCTTAGTTGTGTGCGTCAAAAATAAAATTATTAGAGTTGGAAATGGATGATATTGAGTAGGGAAAGAACGCCATTTCTTTACTAACTTTGTTAATGGAACCTATGAGTTATTATACTAAACTATAAAGCGTTTCTCTTAAGTCCATTGCTTGGAACGTTCCCGTGTAAGACCTGTATACACACCGCGAGTTACCACTCTGAATCCTAACAGATTTGCAGTTTCCAGATTCAGGAGATGTTACGTGGCAACTACGGTAAACAAGTATGGGAAGAGGTTCCCCTCCGCCAAGCTGTCAAAACACACCGCGAACTACCACTCTGGTTCCTAACAGATTTACAGTTTCCAGATATCCAGGAGATGTTACGTGGCAGTTACGGTAAACAGGTTAGAGGTGCAACGGGTATAAAAATCGTTATCGTCATTTGATGCTTAATCTTAAATGCTGATTGACACCGCGTGATTAGTACAAATCGCGTAAAAAAAAATTTCTATTTTCAAATATGAAGGAACCTGTAGTTGATTCAAATTTCAGAACATATCACTTTAAACGTATGAAATACAGTTTCTTCGCGAACACAGATGCCCGACATTGGTCGTTTAAGCGTTTTTACTCTTTTAACATTAATTCTGGAGACGCGCCAAAAACATTCAATGAAATTCTTGACAAATGGACCGCCAGCCTAAAATTCATTCAAGGGCAAAAATATATCCCAAAGGCAATCAAGAAGTTCGTGGAAGAACTAATTAACTTCAATGAGACCAAGAAGTTTGAGAACTTGTTGGACGCCTATGAGCAGAACTTCCAAGCTCACTTCCTTGCAACCCTTTCAAGTGGATCGGTGACGAAGATCGAAATGGCAAAAAGTTATATGAAACAAACGGATGAAATCCTAAACAGTAAATTAGGAATGCAGAACGAAGAATATGAGGAAGATTCTTATGTAGAGGATGATGCAATGTCGGTATGGTTAATTTTAAGTGTTAGTGTGATCAGTAAGTCGAACAGTCAATTTAATCATCATCATACCTCTCATGTTTCTTTAGAAGAATTCTAATCTGGTGTACAGCGATGACGAATTTACAGAAGAAAGTCCAACATACGAAAAAAACCTTAAAAGAAAACTAGAAGATGACGACTTGCCAGGTTACGATGGGTTAATATTTCTATTTAATGATTCGAATGAGGATAAAATTATGGAAAAAATCGATGAAAATACTCTCGAGGAGGAAAGAAAATTACCACTAGCGAGTGATAATAAGGTAAGGTGTTAACTGTTTTTGTTGGTGAGCATACAGAATATTTAATAAACATATTATCTATCCACAATAGGATCCATCTACATCTATATGTGATGAAGTCTTGAGTGCATTCCAAAAATATCAAAATAAAATTCCTAAAATTCGCAGAGTATACACGTATGTATGGCATCCTTTTACGATTATGGTCTGACTATTAACACATCTATCTTATTAATTCACAGCCCTGCATATTGGGGAGTGCTCGATCTGACCAGAGAAAGTCTATACGGATGCAAAGAAGTTACAGAAAACGATTTACAGCAATTATCCCAAGATTTCGCTGATCATATCAAATGGAAATGCGAATTGACCTCAAAAGATATTCAGGATTACTTCGATGGCAATTGCGTAAAACTTGACAATAGCGATGAAAATAAAGATCTAAAACATTTTGACTCAAATGTACAATTTTTGTATGTATTAATTGTAAATTATATACTTGATTATCTGGCGTCGCGTTCTGACTATTACATTGCAGGAAAAATAATATGCATTTTTTCCAAGAAATGTTGACGGAAGAACACTTGAAAATGATATCATCATATCCGTTGTTTCACGGAACATTCATGTCCAATCGTATAAAACACTCTTGGTAAGTCATTTTCTTTTCATTAAGGTGTTGAATATTAAATGTTAACAGTTCTTCTGAATATAGGGGGGAAATTCATGCTCTTTCAAGCAGTGATGCCCGTAATGAAAAATCGGATCCATTGAAAAAAGCACGAGTGGGTAGAAAGGTTGATATGAAAGTAACGTTGCTAAAAACACCAAATAAATTTGAGGCTCTTTTTGGAGAGGTTTCAGGTGGGCTAGGACAATTTGGAATTCCCACAGCCTGTCGCAAGAAACGGTTCTTAGATAAAGTGAAATTAATGGTAACAATGCGGGATAGTGTAAATCGTCTATTAAAAGAACGTGATCATGTATCGAACGAAAAAAGATTAGAAATTATAGTTTTCGGCTGGCTTCAATTTGGTAGGTTTAATGCGAGAAGAAACTTTAATAATACTCTTGCTAATGGAAACTATTTTTAGGTTTGGAGTTGAATTTCTACGCTATGGATTGGATGGGATCCGGTATATATAGATTCGGACTGATAGATCGATGCAGGATACCCGCCGATATTGATGATTGTGATATATTGGAAGATGCATATTGCATTCTAAAATTGCTCCAAGTAAGTTAATAGATAAAATACCATAAATAAAAAAACATCAAAAACTAACGTATTTTTTTTAATGCAGAGAAAGCTACTTGATACTGAAAGAAATGTAAGAAATCTATTTTCGAATAACACGAAAGGAAAAAGACGACAAATCGCTTTAGAAAACAAAGCGGAGCTAAATGTCAATCGCTCCCCCTAAAACAAACCATTTGTGGAACCACATAAAATTAATTGCGGCCGTTTTAGAATAATTTCACTAAATCTAAAGTTTATAATATCAAATACTCTAAAAATTCACGTGCGCGTTACAATTCGTAACGCCGATCACTTTTGCTAAATTCGGTGGGAATTATCCCTACTATCACACACAAATTAATTATCGGAAAATGACCTTGGTCGGCTTTATTATTCGAAGTAGCCTGGTACAAATAAAAATAGCACGGTCATTACATGTGAAGCAGGAAAATCTATCTACCAGCTATTTTTTGGTAATTTTTTTGATCCGAGCTCTTTTACTTGCTGGAGAGCTATCGACTGTCACCCGATCCTTCAACAACCCAACAATGATTCCTATAACCTTTTTCACATTGTTTCGAAGCACGTCCAGATTTTCTTTGATTGCGGTCTTGGAGAGATTTATCTGGTGCTCACTATTACTGGTACTGTATATTCCTTCGGATGTATATATGATGAAATGCCATTCCATGGCTGAAAACAATCCAATGATTAGTGAAAAATCATATGAGTAAATTTTGGAAAATCAGAATTGTTCCGAAGTGGGACTTTTGGTCTCAGGTTTGCCGATCACTTTACCAAGGAAAATTTTTACATACCTGTTGATACGATCCCATATAGATAATCAAAATAATCACCCCCAAATGCTTGATCTGCCGTCCGTTTCTTCTTATTGGTCTGGTATGCACTTTCAAGCTCCGATAAATTCTGAGCGTAACCAATCCTAATATTTCGTGGTTTGGCTTCGGTAATGCAAAGAAGATCCTCAACACTTTTGATCGCATAATCGACACGACCTGTGGACTCTTCACCTGATATATCCTTCTGCAATGCGATAAAAATATCTTCTATTGTATGTTTTTTTTAATGATATCGATCGATGCGTGTAATATTGCTGAAATAAATTCACATCTCGTCGCTTCGTTAGCGTCGGTCATCGTTTCAATATTCGATAATTTCAGAATTATATCATCTATGCAGTGATTGAAAGCCTTATCGTTGTCGTCTATCTACCACTACAAATGAAAGTATACAGATATAAGATGCCTATATGATGAAAAATTTGCAAGACAACCCGAAAAATAGATATGAAACCACCTACCAGGAACAAACTGTTTTATATTCGTTATATCCTCCCCATTGACTTTATTCTTACGTAGCATTTCTTTCAGATCATCCAGAGTTTTATACGTTGAATAGCTTCGTAGTTTCTGTCCTAGACTCTCGATAAAATCTGAAAGTCTAGTTGCCGGTCCCAATGCAAAGCCAATACTTCTAAGTTTTTCTTCTGTTAATTTGAGAAAATCAAGACCGGATATCTCCTCCTTCCGAATAATCTTGAAATGAGACTCCTTAAGCTTCAGATCCCGCCTCTGTAAATAGTCAATAAGTTCCTCTGTATCTAGATCTCTCACAACATCTGCCATCGTACGAGTTGACCTTTCTTCCGTCAAAGTAGAGTATGTGGAAATGGGTGAGGAAGGTGTTGAATCATGCGAAGTCATTGTTTTTTATAATGGTGTAAGGCGTAAGGAATCTGGTTTATGCGATGTGTTGTGACCTCCGGCTGAAGTGAGATAATGCAAGGAATAGAATGAAAAAATTTTTTGGACGGATCAGTGTCTATTTATAGGGGAACGCTAAAGCAGGGTAGTGGATTATATGTCAATTCGAATTATGTAAATCCAGATCATGTCAATCTGAAT